GTCGCCGCAAGGCTGCAAGCCTTTTAAATTAGAGTTTCCAATCTAGGAAGATAATTAAATAAGATTTTGAATCGCAGAAATAGTGGCCGACTACAAATAAAATTATGTTTAACATTATTTGCCCTTGTTTTTTCTTTAGACAAAAGTACTAGAATGTAAATTACTTTAAAGAAAATTTACTGCAATTTTTATCACCGCAAAAAAAAAGAAAAAGAAATAAAGAAATAAAAAGAGTAAATCATAAATTAAAATAAAATTATAACATCCCCCTAATACTAATACTGACATGTTATATATTTATATGGTCATATATATATATCTAACTATCTATCTATCTATCTATCTATCTATCTATCTATCTATCTATCTATCTCTTTTTCTCTCTCCTCCTCTCACTCTCTATATATTTAGTTACGTCCAAAAATCGCTAAAAAAATCAGCATACTCTGATGAAAACATGCTCCAAACTTAGTGTAAACAAAGTTTTATCTTAAGATCTTATCAAGAGGAAAGATCAAAATATTTTTTTGAATATTTAATTCAATTTTTTACTCTTTTTTTGTTTAGAACATTCGAAATTTTGATTAAAAAGTTTGTTTTTCTTGCATCAGCGGATTTACTCTGTTTTAGCATAGCAAATTATTGCCTCTTTTTTTTTGCGGTGACGGACACTTTAATTTAGAAATTCTAGCAAAAATCAAATAATTGTCGGATTTTAATGAAATTTTCAGGACTTATTCACAAATGATTAAAATTATTTTAGAAATGTTCTCTATGAGAAAATCTTGGTAAAAATATTTTAAAATGTCATACACCCTTATTTAATTTATAAAAACTTGAGAAATTCAACGTGATAATTTGTAGGGACTATAATTGTTAGCTGAATTCTTTGGAGAATTCAAATCACCAATTTTGGGGGACAAAATCAGACCCCCGCTTTACTGTTCTAAATCGAAAGGTAAAACACGCAATAAAACTAAGGCATTATTTAATTAGAGAAGCTTTTAATTGCTTTTATGAATATTATATATTAAGATAATATTGTCATATGAAAAAAGAATTCCGACAAAATATTAATTTTTACTCGATATATTTTCATTTTTTTCATTTTAATTAGAATAATTTATAATATTTTTAAATCTTTTAAAATTCAATTTCAATGGTGTAACTTTTACAAACGCTTGTCATTAAGTAAAACTATATTTACTTATCTTATATTGTAAAGCTTATTACGATCTGACACATACGAATATTTTTTTAAATTATTTTGAATTGTTTTTGTACATGTAAAAACGTGCCGAATTTTATATATACGGTAACCCATACACGGCACTAACAGAAAATAAGATCGACAACTATAGTAAATCTGGAGCCAAAATTCTCTAAAACTCAATAAAACACTAAATTAGCACGTAAGTGAATGTAATGGATTCGACTGGAATTCGAACTCGGCTCTCCGATTCATCAATCCGAGACCATACACGACATTATCAGAAAACAAGAGCGACAGCTATAGTAACATTTCTAAAATTCAATAAAACATTAGATTACGGAAAATATTTTCTTAAAATTTTTTAACATTACCGAGTACTTAAAAGTAATTATTTTTTTAGGTTAAATTCCCCGTAGAACAACATTGCATAAAAATCAAGCTCTCATAGAGGTGTTAAAAAGTTGTCAACATAAATAACAATGTGCTGTTGTGTTGAAAATGCATTTCTGTGAAAAAAATAATAGTTGTTTCAAATCAGAATAATTATACATTAAATCAGCTAATCTTCCTCAAATAAAGTTTCAGAAAAGTATATTTTATTTTTGGAAGATATTTTAAGAAAGAAATTTACATTCTTATAGCACTTTGGGGTATTTTTAGACAAAAGTATTAGAATGTAAATTACTTTAAAGAAAATTTACTGCAATTTTTATCACCGCAAAAAATAAAATAAAATAAAATCATAATTTAAAACAGAATTATAACATTCCCCCTAATACTAACATATTTTATATTTCTATGCTCATTATTGGTTTGTTTGTTTTACTTTACGGTATATCAACCTCAATGGGTTATTTAATGCCGAGAAATTTTTTTTTATTTCTGGTAATATTATCTATCTATCTATCTATCTATCTATCTATCTATCTATTGTTTGGTTTGTTTTGTTTTGTTTTACGGCATATCAACCTCAACGGGTTATTTAATGCCGTGAAAACCTTTTTATTTCTGGTAATATTTTCTTTCTTTCTTTCTATCTATCTATCTATCTATCTTCATTATCCATGTATTTATGTTTCTTCGATATCTATCTATCTATCTATCTATCTATCTATCTATCTATCTATCTATCTATCTATCTATCTATTGTTTGGTTTGTTTTGTTTTATGGCATATCAACCTCAATGGGTTATTCAATGCCGACAAAATTTTAATTTCTGGTAATATTTTTTTCAAAAAAGCATAGCAGATAATTTTTTTTCAGAAATGTATAGCTGGTAATATCTTTTGTTTTCAAAAATATATTTTTGGTAATAATTTAAAAAAAAATATTTCTATATATTTCACAGATTAATGCTATGGCTAATACGAGTGTCTTTACTTTATTTCTGATGTCCTGTCTCCCTACAGGACGTAAGTGATCATGTCTCCCTACAACATCCGATCCGTTGTGGCTCTTACTAAGTTTTATTTTGCTATTTACCCATATACACAAGCTCGTTAGGTAAGCTATTCACTGTTTGCCTCTGTCTCTCTTGTCCTTAATATGTCCTGGGTGTATCAAATTCTTCATCACAAAATATGCTGACAAAACGTTTTATCTCTAGCATGACACATGACGTGTTAGAGAAAAGTATGATTAAGTGAGTACTCCAGAAAACCACTCCACCATAATTTATATATCCAGGCATACTACGAGCTGTTGGCCTCTGGTCAAATTTGACAGGTTTAATCAACTGCCACAAGCATTCTGTTACTTTCTATCAAAGACTTAATTACTTAAGACACAAAATTGAAGCATCTTCTTCTGTGTGCTGGTTTCTGTCTGGATGTGAGGGATCATGGCTCTTCATCCCTTCTTATGTTTTATTGCTATAACTTCTATTCGTTTACGAACTTTTTTGCCCCTGTTTTGACATCCATTCATTCAATTCCGTAAGAACATTATTCAATGTTTTTCCTTGCTTCTCAAGCCTAAAGTATGTTCTGTGAGTGTTATATTCTACGGATTGATTAAGAATTCGCGATATGGTTCCGAGATCCCACCCCCACAAATAGTGCCACACGCTGGCATAGTCTATCTAGTTCGATATTATTAAAAAAAATCATTGCATGGAAAAATCGGTCATAGCCAGTTTGAGAAATCAGGTTTATTGTCGAAAATACTAACATCCTAATCAATCGACGACAAGCCCAGTCAAATCGATGTATTCTATCATTAAAAATCCCTGACAGAAGAACATTGCAATAAAAAAAAAAATGAAAGAAGAAGAAAACATATAATAATAGTCATCTTAATTTGTATCGGAGAGAAAGCAAATTATTAATGAATAACAATGCTCAATTTTGGTCTCCCAAAATTAAAAGACTTAGAGATGAAAACCAAAAAAACCAAAATAGAAAACAGAAAAAAGAAATATCAGTTTGATATTTTTAGTTTCATCCTTTGTCTACTGACAGCTTACCGATAAAACCCTTTAGCTATTTAGCTTAATTGAAAACAACACATTGCCATGAATATCAAATGATTATAGTCAAATGAAAGAAAAAACAAAACAAATGTTCGTTTTATTTTCTAACGGAAAATCAATTATTAATAAACACATTTAAATTCACTGTTGAGAAATTGAAGTTGCTTCGAGGTTAAGGCACTGGCTGCTTCGTTCATCTTGACTAAATCATTTTTGTTTACGAGAGATTAAAAAAAAAACATTCTTCACCATTTAAATTACGAGGATTTGGTAATGGCGGGCTTAATTTTATCTTCTTTCTGTTTGTTATCTATAGTATATAGATAAAAAAAACTCAGAAAGATAATCGCATCCGTGTCCTGGGTATGACGATAAACTACATCCAACACCAAGGCCTCTGAGCAGGAGGTTTTGAGGAGCGTGGAACGACATCTTAATTGCTGGTGTCACCACATCCACTATGTTCCTGGGGTGGTAGCACCTATTAGCTTCCCAGCTATATGAAATTGTTGACCCTCAAACTGGGGTCAAAACTATGAATGAGTAAAAATAGATTTTAAAACCAGCAATACATTTTTGTAAAAGATTATTACAAGCAATATATTTTCTCAAAATATATTAGCAGCAATACATTTTTGGAAAAAAATATTGATGTTGATATGCCGTAAAACAACCAGAAAGAAAACCGATACAGCTATTAGTATATTTTATCAGCCAGCCATAGTTTACCGGCTATTTAGTTTTAGGAAGAATAATGCCTTTTAGCCTTCCAGTAGTATAAGGAGTACTAATATTAGCATTAGCGTAACCATTGATACACTAACACTGAATGCGAATATAGAAAGACGAGATACGCGACCGTAACAAACAAAACATTTAATAAGACAAACAACTTACATACATATATTAAAAAGATTTACATATGTCCCAAAACAAATGATTTTTATTAATGTCCAAGGGAAAAGAATGCTTACAGAACGAGAACAAAGAAATGAAATACCAAGTTTATGGCCTCTGACCGTCCGAAGATAAGTGAATAGAAATTACTTTTTTCTTCACGCTAAGCTGTGCACATGTTGACCAGTTTCCACGTGTGTGGACGCCCTGGGGATGAGGAAGGTAAGAGCATGGTGGCACTCGTAGCGAATGTTGGCCTTCACAGGACATAGGATTGTCTTGATGTGTCAACCAGTTTAGAAAGAAAACTCTGAACTCACAATCAGCCCGTGACAAATGGGCATATTACCGCTGCAATGGCTGTAGGAGATGGTGGTCCTCGTAGGTCATGGAGACCCTAATAGAAGATGGTGGCCCCCTTAGGACGTGGTGTACCTCGTAGTACATAGGTAGGAGATGGTAGGACTCGTAGAACATGGAGGCTCTTGTAGGGCTTGGTCGTGTTCGTAGGACATGGTGTTCCTCGTAGGACATGGTGTTCTTCGTAGGACATGGTGTTCCTCGTAAGACATGGTGTTCCTCGTAGGACATGGTGTTCCTCGTAAGACATGGTGTTCCTCGTAGGACATGATGGAACTCGATATGTGATATAACGGTATTGCAATGAACGTGGGCGTCCTGGATATGACGATAAACTACATCCGTGTCCTGGGTAAGACGATCAACTACGTCCAGCATTAAGGCCTCTAATCAGGAGGTTTTGACGAGCGTGGAACCACATCTTAACTGCTGGTGTTCCCAGGTCCCCCTGACCCGGGGTGGTAGCATCTGTTAGGGTCCCAGCTGTAGGCAAATAGTTAATCCCGAAACTGAGGTAAAAAGCATTATAAAAGTGTAAAAGTAGGTTTTAATCGCAGAAATACTCTGTAAAAAATTATTACCAGAAATAAATTTTTGAAGACAAAAAACTATTACCAGCAATAGGTTTTTGAAAAAAAAATATTACCAGTAATACATTTTTGAAAATAATATTACCAGCTATACATTTTTGAGGAAAAAAAATTACCAGAAATAGATTTTTGCCAAAACAAAATATTACCAGGAAAAAAGTTGTCGGCATTAAATAACCCATTGAGGTTGATATGCCGAAAAACAAAATAAACCAAACGATAGATAGATAGATAGATAGATAGATAGATAGATAGATAGATAGATATTACAGGCAATAAAAATTTGTCGGCAATTAAATAACCAACTGAGATTGATATGCCGTAAAACAAAACAAACAGATAGATAGATAGATAGATAGATAGATAGATAGATAGATAGATAGATAGATAGATAGATAGATAGATAGATAGATAGATAGATAGATAGATAGATAGATAGATAGATAGAAAATATTACCAGCATTTGTCGGCATTAAATAACCCATTGAGGTTAATATGCCGTAAAACAAAACAAAACCAATGTACGTGGGAAAGAATTTTATAAAAGAAAGAAAAGAAAAGGCTATTTACAAGTGTTATATTAAGAAATTATAAGTCACGAACAATTATTGATAACTATTATTAACACTGCGATTACAAAACCAGACATTAACCTTAGAACACGAGTCATGTACTTAAATGACCTTTCCAGTTCTGGGCTTTCAGAAGGATGTCATGCATGACCCGAAACCCGTTCAAAAATATTTAAACTCTCATCTGGAAACGACCACTTTCTATGGTTAAAAATTGATAGAAGCGAATGAAGTCTGTAGGTCTTGGCGAGGGTGATTCTTCTTCGAAACTTATGAACTGGCGCTACAGAATCACAAAGAACAGTACCAAATAGCAGAAAATGCATCACATGCGGAGTTTTAACAATAGCAACAAGTAAATTAAATAGCAGATAGTAACACGAAGAAAAAATGATCATACAACTAAGAATGTAACGTTCTACACAACTTCAAACACAAAGTTTCATTTTCTTTTCTTTTGCTTTACGTTTTATCAACTTCAAAAGGTTATTTCATGCCGACGAGATTTTTATTGCTGATAATATATTTTTTTAAATGTATTGCTGGTAATATTTTTTCAAAAATATATTGTCGGATAATATTTTTTTTTCAAAAATGTATTGCTGATAATAATTTAAAAAAAAAAATGTAATGCTGGTAATATTTTTTTTCAAAAATGTATTGTTGGCAAAATTTTTTTTCAAAAATGTATTCCTGGTAATATTTTTTCAAAAAATGTATTGCTGGTAATATTTTTTTTCAAAAATGTATTGCTGCTAAATTTTTCTTTCAAAAATATATTGTTGGTAATATTTTTTTCAAAAATGTATTGCTGATAATATTTTTTCAAAAATGTATTGCTGGTAATATTTTTTTTCAAAAATGTATTCGCTGATAATATTTTTTTAAAAAAAATGTATTGCTGGTAATATTTTTTCAACAATGTACTGCTGGAAATAATGTATTGCTGATAATAATTTTTTCTTCAAAAATGTATTGCTGGTAATAATTTATCCAGAAAGGTATTGCTGGTATTAAAACTTATTTTTATACTTTCATTGTGTTTTGACCCCTTTTGAGGGGTTAACTATTTGCCCTTAGCTGGGGCCCTAACAAATGCTACCACCCTAGGTCAGGGTTTACCTGGGAACACCAGCGATTAAGAGTTGGTTCCATCCTCCTCAAAACCTGATCAGAGGCCTTGTTTTTGTCTGTAGTTTATCGTCTTACCCAGGACGTCAAACAAAATTTAGGAAAGGGCTATAACAGTTATTGGATTCGTGGAGGCGATTTTCTGAAAAAAATCCTTTTAATAGGAGAGATTTTTATAAAAAGTTGGCTATTCCGTCAATGAATACAGAATGTTTCCTTATAAGGAAACGGCTAATAATACTATTAAGTTTTTAAGTTTGGTTTGTTTGTTAGGTTCATCTCTATCCTTTATGTCTGGGCATTAGCGGATCTTACTGATTAAGTATTTCTTGAAAGCGTAGTTCACAAATAATGCAAATCTGCATTGGGTTTTAAATTACTCCGAATCAGAAATCTAACCGGCAGGATATCAATTTGCGAAATATCTATTTCTCTACTTGACTCGATGCAAAGAAGTTAATTCCACGAACAGCACCGAAACTAAACCAAGAACTGGATAATGAAATAAAACTTCCAATTGTCTCGATCCCGCATTTGATTCGAATTAAATTTTATTCTGAATGACCTGCAAATAGGGTCGTTACGTCTTTCAATTCATGCAAAAAAAACATTTTTCACAACAATCATTTACTTTTTCCGACGATAGGACTTCGTTCAATTTGCGACCGATTCACAATAAAAACCATCGTAAACACGAAAATTCAAGCGAATAAAACTTGATATTTTGAGGAAACAAGACACAAACTGTACATCCAGTAGACAAGTATCAGCAATACCAATAAATACTATCTATATGATAAATGCTAATGTCACTGTGTCACGACATTTCAACTTTACTCCTAGAGGCTGCAGCCCAAAATATTGTACCATTTTGGAATCACGATGACTCTGTGAACAAATTAAAAGCATTCCGAACTGGATCCAGACCCGTAATCCTGAAAATCTGGATTCCCAAGTTTTCATTACTGCAATGGTTTTTGGCGATGTTTCACGTGAATTTTTGCGGTGAATTTTTTTTTTGTGCGATAACAATTTTTATAATTCGGAAATAATTTTAAGAATAATCGAAATGAATTGTAAAATCCAGCTATAGTCATCTATGAAATAAAAGTAATTATTTGTACGGAAAGTAGGGACCTACGTACATCAAATTGTCTTTAAATTAAGTGGCGACAGAATTATAGCTGAACTTTCAAAAGGTAAGCTTAAATATTAATGCAGTACTTAAATGCAGCGATCACTTCTGCATTTTTCTGTAGTTTTTTGTTGCCTATCACATCTTAAATATTATGATGATGGCTCACTCACGAGCCCTCCGCAGGACCTAGTTTAAATGCCGTCCGATAGGGCGGCTTTTAAGTTAGTTTCAATATAAATACCATATTTATTATTTATTCGGCCGAGTTAGCCCCGACATGCATGATTTTACTTCAACGTTGGAAGGTCATTAGGGTGGCTTTCCGTGCCATAACATAGCTGGTCAATGCGGGTGGATAAGGGTCAATCCACCCGTCTTGCTCCATGGCTAGGTGTCTAGAGTAGTAGATCACTTGCAAGTTCATGTTTTGCTTGCCAGCAATGACCTGCAAAGCGGATTCTGCGTTTGCGTAAGATTGTAGAAATATCAGGGATGGCCCCATAGAGCTGTTATTTAGTTGGGTGTTGTCTGCAAGAAAAGTTAAGTGTAACTCTCAGCATCAGACTGCAGATTCCAAACACCATACTTTAAAACCGACTCTACAGTGGCGCGAATGAAGCTCCGTTCGACCTTGTCTAGTAGATCAAATTTCCAAATTACATACAATTTTTTCAAGATGGCCCAAGCTATAGTATTACATATATTATTCATTGGTATATATATATTAAACATTATATATATATATATATATATATATATATATGAAGAAAAATACAGAAAAAACAAACAAAAATCTTAATATGCAATTATGATGTATTAATGTCAATATAAAGTCGACGTCGGACGTTTCGGTCTATTTAAGACCATCTTCATGGACATTTTCATTTAAGCATAATTAACATTAGAACATATAAAAATTTAACACAAAGGACGATGGACATAAGAGCACAACTAATCCAAACAGATAACTGAAATTTTTATATAAATGAAAAATGTATTTTTCTTCATACTGTCGGATCTATATCCATATAATTGCTTACATATATATATATATATATATATATATATATATATATATATATATATATATATATATATAAATGATTAATATATATCAGTGCTCGCCCATGCTTGATAATTTATAGGTGGAGAATTGGTTGCTGAATTACAGCCATTACATTTTCTAACTCCATTTTGAATATCTTTGTATCTTTTGCATTTTGAATATCTTTGTATCTTTGGGTAATAAACGTAGCTTCACATCAGTGGACATTGAATTCAGCACTCAGAGGCGAAACTCTGTTTCATGCTAAACACAAACGATTTACATTTTAGTACGCTCTATACCTAATATAAAGCACTTTAACCCATAAATATAGCACTCATTGAAACTATATTTTATCATATATATATATATATATACCAATAAATAAAATGCTATATTTAATTGAGACTCTCCCTTTCTTTATCCAAAATGCAGCAAGAAAATATCTCTATTTTTCAGTAAATATTTTCATGTCAATTGTTCTGATGAACTTTCCTTTATTTTATCTAGACTTTATGAAGTCCAGTATTACATTGGCGGCAACGTCTCATCATGCATTTAACTGTAAGTTCTATGCTAACAGTTTCTTGTGGAACTCTTTTGCGTCTTCTTCCTTTCCAGCCAACTTAAATCTTCAAAAATTTAAATGCAATGTCACTAGTTATGTTCTGTCTTCTTAAGCCTATGGTATAATCACTATCTCTCTGTCGCGTTACATCTCCGCCGTTTCCTCTTCATTTGTTAATAAATTCTCCAGCATTATCATATAAGAGGGTTGATATTAAATAGCAGTCTAGCACTCTTTTCTTTGTTTCTAATGAAATTTCCCTGTAATGCTTTGCTGAGCTTCTTGGAAAAAAAAAATCTCTCGCTATTGCAATGTACATTTGTCGAACACATGTTGCTGTAATTTTGCCGGCTTTCTACTGGATTGCGCATATTTTCAACAGCTGGCAATATTTGCACCTCGCTCTTGTGAATATAATGTAGTCGAAAATAACATCATGGCATTTTAAAATGGCGTCTTTTGTGAAAAAAAAAAACATTCATTTTTCTTATATCGAAGCTTCGCGATATTTTCCTAAGTTTTAAGTCTTCTTCCTATGTCAGAGAATCAGTGATTTAAGACGAGTTGTAGATGGTGATGAATGCAGTAAAACAATGATTCTTCTGGAGTAGCAGACGACATATTTTGCCCAATAACGTGACATACTTCCATTGACGGTGTAGAAAAACCGCAGGAGAATAAGTGACATTTTCCATTAAAATGATATTAAAAAATCCCATTTGGGAGCCAAAAAGAATGAAGCAATATTCCAGTTCCAAATGGTTAAGTAGGAGAAGCAGAAGATTTGCGTCTATTTGAAGTAAAAACTGGTCGTCGCAAGAAAAATATTCCAGACAGCATTTCTTTTTTTTATATTATTTTATTTTTCAATGGCTGACTAAAAGAAAACTGTTTTCTTTCATCATGCCCATAGACACGCTCATACACATACACATCTTACTGTATATGTGAACTGGACGAGATATTCTCAGCCAGACCAAGGCAAAAGAAAAATCTCAAGCTGTTTCAG